TTTTTTTTTTTTTTTTTTTTTTTTTTTTTTTTTTTCGTCTAATCTTCTCGCATTTTCGATCGAGGAGAGCCTTTATCGAAAGACGAGGCATGCGTTTCACAACGGAAAACGGATAATGTTTTGTCCAAGATGGGGGTATTTAAAGGTGATAGCAAGTTCGAAAATCGCGATACGACACACGCGATCGGGCAATACGGCACGTAACGCAATCGAACGCCGCTCAATTTTCCAACGGGCATCGTGCAATTACATGCTTGATCGCATATAATTTTCTAAAATGTTTATCTTCCAAGTAAGCTTGTTCGAATATCGTTTCGAGTCGAATCGGCGGAATTTCATTTCATAAAAACATTTATTCCCCTCCTCCATCCCGTTGCAACAAGCTATTATCGGCGTTCCAGGCCTCAGAAACGCAATAATCTCGTACGAACTGATAATAATAATCGTGTGCCTAATAGTCGTGACCTCTCTCGTGGTGTGGAAATCTCTTCCACGCTGTTTAACCTCATTCGCTTCAGACGAGTCATTGTTAAACGTTCGAAGAAATTATTCGAGTTTGACAAGTCTTTTTATTTTCTTAATTTCTATTTATTTATTTTTTTTTTTGTTTGAAAAAATTTTGAAGATTTCGGATTTTAAAAACGATAGCCTTTTAAATTTTTCTAATAAAAATCAAATAATTATTTTAAATGGATACGATAATTCTATTATTGTTGTTTGCGTATTTCAATCTTTTATTTTATTACGAAATAAACAATTTTCATTAATGTAAATTAATTACCAAAGTATAAGATTTTATATTTCCATATTACCGAATTCAGTCGAAACAAAAGAAATTTTTATTTAAGATATAAAGTAATTTTTAATATCAAGCCAATACTTTGTCACTACTTGATCAATCCAATAAGAAAATCCTTCGAATTTAATTCTCAAAAGAAGAAGAATCACACGTGAGGCAAAATTATATTAATTCGATTGCACTCGCATGCACTTTTCATCCCATTTATTTTCCTTTTTATCTCGTCTCGTATATTTACATTAATCACTCAGTCGTCTATCTGTATTTTGTATATTGCTTAAGAAATTAATTTTGTTTCGAGCATTGATTCCATTCCGGAAAATTTGATTCGTATAGAATCATCGTTAAAATATCTTAATCACTTAATAATCTTTCCCCTTTCTACCAAGGATCTTTTCACGCTGCTTCATCAACTCCTCCTCCGTGATCCTCACTTGACACCTGTTCGCATACGTGTGACACCATGTGCCAGGGCAACAGTCGGAGCTGGCCACGCACTGAAATGAAGAAATAAATTCACGTTAGCGAATTTATCAGCTGATATAAACGGCCAACAATATGTGTTGGAAATTATTACGACTGCTTTAAAATTCTATTTTAGGCTCTCAACGTTCACGAGACTCCAGTTAGCGGGGCAGATTCGCGTAACCCTGTTATTATTTTTATGTCTGGAACTCTCTGTAACTCGTTTCCCGCTCACGTCGAATATTTTTGACACCCTTTGTATCGTGATAATCGTTAAAGATGAAAGTTTCATCGAGAAAATGATTTTTTTGGATCCATTAACATTGACTGAAGAACAAATAATTTGAGAATCGAATAATTAAAAGATTTTAAGTCTTTTTTAATAATGTAATTTTATCTAATGTGGAAAAAATATAAATAAAAATATCAAATATTTTTATTTCTACGAGATTAAGACACATGATTCTTATTACAATTATTGTCAATTTGAATGAAATTATTGAATTTCGTGATATGTAATAAAATAACAAAGTTATATACTTACAGAATCACCATGTCTGCCACATTTAGAAGCAGCTGAAACGATGTTCGTAGTCAGCAAAAGGATGCAAACGAGAAGTATAAACTTGGACATTTTGCAATGTATTTTTACACTGAAAATAAAAGAAAAATTGTATTACATTCGTTTCAATTTAATTGAATAACATATAATTTGCAATACCTTCTATTATTATTTTTACTTGAATCTATTTGAAAATATAAAGTAAAACTGATTAAAACGATTGAAACGTTATCTACAGCATCCGAGAGTTATTAATGATGTAATTGATGACTAACAAGAATTAATTGTTATCAACAATCATCGCAATCATTTATTTATTTACTGATTCACTTTATTTCACGTTTAATTTAATTTATATAATCTAAAAAAATTATATGTTTGCATGTGATCTTAATTCGGTATGGTCAAGTAACGATCATGTAAAACTTGTTATTTCAATTATTAAATTCGATACATTTAATTCACAAAAGAATTCGAAGGAAAATAAAACAAACGAATTAAAGACTGTATTTTTTAACGCAATTATATCTCGAAATTGTATCTATAAAAAGACGCGAATCAGATAAGGTCAGCCATAGATTCATGAAATTCTAGCTTATTACGCAACTTGATAAATACATGTACAAGATCTGCGCAGGAAAAACGTAAGCAGGTGTCCGTGAATGAATCATTAACTACTGACCTGACTCGTTCTTGAATAACGAACAAAGTATGACTAAAGCGTATCGCCACGGCTGACCATGAACGGCATCAATCTACTTAGCCAAACAGTTATCATGTATTTACTATAGCAGAGTTCTTTCATGTTTAATAAAAACTCATCGCTCTTTTCCTTTTGCGAAACTCATCGAAGAATTGATTATTTTCATTCAACCGAAATTATTTGTATTTTTATGAATATATAGAGTATCCTGTCATTAATTATAGAGATTTTATGTGAAATAATAAGTCGAAAATAAAATAAAATTTTTTCACTGAGGCTTCATTTAAAAAAATTTTGAAGTATAATTAAAATTGGCTATTTCTTGATTAAATATCTTGATTAAATATTAATAATTGATTTATATATGCGAAGATATAAATAAAAAATATAGAATAATTTTTGTTTATTTAAAAATTAATTCTTGAGAAAATCGATTATATTTCTTGACTGTTGAATTTTTTTAAAAATTGGAAGCGATAAAATTTTCACATGTAGAGTAACTACTTATTAATAGTACATTCTTATCTAATCGGAAAAACCAATTATAGTATTTTAAAATTCTTCAATTTCATTTTATTTAAAAACGAAGATTGATTTTCGACTAATTTTTTACATAGAATTACCAGTACTGACTGGACACCCTATATAATTCTGTTATTGATCGCGGCTTTTCTATTTTTACGAAACGATTCAAGATAATATTTTAATCCTAAAACGCAGATGTTCGTAATTATTAGGAATGATAAAGCTTTCATTGTCTTCTTTGTCAGATATAACAAATTTCATTATCGATTATTAATAAAGTAATAATAAAAAAAATTAAACTATTGCAACAAAATAAATACAATATTGCATCGCAGTGATAAATCAATTTTACGAATATTTTAAATTAATTTTGTAAATGTTAATATTTCAATTTACTTAAGAAAAAAAATATAGCGATCTTAAAAGTTGAATATATACCAATCTATAGCATTCTATAGTATCCATCTATAGAAACCTATAATATATTAAAATGAAAATAATAATATGTGATAACAAAAGTTCAAAGTTCATTGCACGAGTTAACGAAATCATTTACCATTGAACATTTTCTTATCTTTGAAGAAGTCTTGAAAAAATTTAAATATGATAAATCAACTACGATAAATTGAATCATTAAAAATATATTATTTCAACATGAATTATAATTCATTACTAGAAATAATAATTTTATAAAATTATCAATTTTTCATTATATTCTTATATATACATTCTGTGTTATATTAATATTTTTTATTAGATACTATATTTTTCTTTTATATTCATTAAGTATTAATATTAATTATAGAAATAAATATAATAAATGACACATATAATAAAAAAAAAAACGTTAATGGTTATAGTAATATTCGAAAAAGAATTGAATAGATTTCTATGCTTATTTACAATTTTCTCAAAGATAACACAGACACTTGTATTATCACTTTTCCATTGACCTTTTCAATTAAAAAATCACGAAAAATCAATCACCAGAAACTATTATTGTTAAAATCAACAAATTGATATTTCTTTTAATTGATTCGTTTTCGACACTTCTTCACGGCTCAATCGATTCAATTTTAATCCGAAGAAATCTATCCTTGATGGAGAAACTGCGCATAAATTCTACTCACCAGAAGAGGCTGTGGAATGGTTTCACGACGCTTTCTTCACAGCGATAGTCTCAAGAGTTCGACCTTAACTGGTTTCTCAACTTGCCATATACTATGCTTTTATACCACGACATCGCGTCATTCTTGCCGCTGTTAAGTCGTGTATTATACACGTCTGTCTGTGTGTGCATGTGTGGATACACGCGCGCGTGGCTGGAAGAGTACAAGAGGTAATAACGAGAAATGTTATACTTCTTGCCCACGTGATTCATTGTTTAAGAAATGCACACGCGTTTGTCTCGCCCTTTGTTACGCCGATGAATTTTCATTTTAACAATTTGCAGTTGAATGAATTTTCCACTCTTCTATTTCTCTTCCTTCCTCCCGTTCTTTCTCTTTTTAAACGGGAATCTAGAATCTTTATCATTATTAAAATTTTCTAAGGAAATTATTATTGCATATTTTTATCCTGGTGGAATATTATGTAACAATTATGTTATAAAAAACTAATAAGGACCAGTAAAAATCATAAGAAGAAGAAATAATAAAGTTGTATAGACTTTTATAGACTTTAAAATCAAACTTTAAAATTATTTTTGTTTATTTGCCACTTTATTTTATTGATTATAATTAATTACAGTTTATTCTAACAATTTTAGTAGATGAGATATTTTTCTTATTAAGTTAATTGATAAAATAATGAATCTAATTATAATAAATAAATATCAAATAATTTGTACAAATATATAAGTTTAAATAAATAAAAATAATCATTAAACATTCATATTTACATACAAAAATATAAATTGGATTAAGATAAATGAATAATAAAATGAAATTATAATTAAATAATTAATAAAGAGATATTAGAAAAATTCAATTAATACTGTATTTAAAAAGATTCATCTCTTATTCTAATAATCAAGTAATATAGAATGTATAAATTATTTCGTTCAATACTAATAAAAAATATTCAAGAGAGATATGAAAATTTATAGATAAAAAAGATAAATTTGTTGCAAAT